GCCTGACGGATAGAACTTCACTGTGTGCGCTAATGAGCATTCGTTGATATTAAGTCATCGCTTTTTTCTACGCTGAGAACATACTGTGCTACGCTGGAAAACTTTCTGAAAGTTGGTTGTTGCTTTCTCTGCGCCACGGAAGTCGCCAAGTTTCGTCTGTTTGCTTATAGATACTGATCTGTTTTTGTGGGTCTCTTATTTTCGAGATAACAATCAATAGTTTATTTTTTGCTTCGTGGGACATGCAGCTGTTTATGAGCTGTGTTCTGATGGCAGTGTTTACGCTACTGTGCATGTGTTAATTATGTCAGTTCTGTGCTTAATCTATGAACTATGGATGCCTATCAGCTACCAGGAGTGTCATAATATAGACACAATAATATAGTATATATTATGACACTCCTGATATAAACTACCTGGTGGTTTCCTTTTCCATAAATTTCACGATGAGTAGCATATAACGTTCTTACTATTCATTGCTATCCGAATGTCATTTTCGACTCCGTTCAGTATATCGTCCAGGGAATGTGTTGGTGTAGCTTGCGAAGCGGTCCACAGTTTCCGTTTAGTGTAAGTCGATGTGAAGAAGCCAGATTGAGCGATTTGTCGGATGCGATTTCTAAACAGTTACTCTTGTGTTTACGCTCAGATGGCTGCAGGCGAAAACCGCTGTGCAGACACTTCATATGTTCACACTCCTGCTCGTGGGGCCCTCCTGTACGTCATGTATAACAGTATACTTAAGATGAAGACGTGCAAGCCGCAGTGACAGTCCTTGGTATCACGACAAAACGCTATGTTTTTCGAGAATGTTAGACAGTAGACGATAGATATAACGATGTAATTACAAGCCATGTCATACACGGGCGTTTATTTGTTATGTTTATAATCGTACATGTTGGTTATGTTTCCCGCCATGATGCTTAGCACAGCTACTTGTGTATTCTGAGTGTTATTAGTACGTCATTAGTCATTATGTAGGCAGCTGTGGCAGTGAGTGGCTACTAGGGCCTGCTAGCCATTACACAAATAAACGGGCTATCTCCGTCATGGTGATTGTGCGGGGATCTAGTTCGTGGCCGTCACTCCCTGGCATGGTTTCTTCTTCACTTGCGCCAATTTCTCGTGGTTGGCAGGCTAAATATAAACAGTCAGAAATGTTGGCCTGGTTTTCGGTAGGTCAGCTGCAATGGTAGATGTGTTTTCCTTTTAGTAGCGCCAGGATTGATGCTGGAAACAGCAGAGAGTAGGTGGGTGGTTGGTTGGGGGGAGGAGATGAAATGCAATTTCGGCCGCATCCGTTTTAAGTAAAAATTGGATCTTAGGAAACTACGTTATTAACACTGCTAATTGATCTGCAGTTGAGATTCGACAGTTTGTTTACATTCATATAACTGTGTACAGTCAAATTGATTTTATTTATCAACATTTTTTAAAGAAAATCTTTTTATGAATCACTTAAACGAAAAAACGTCACTTGTGCTTGCACTGTAAAGAGCCGCACTTTCAACTAGGAGGTCTAACTCAACATGTGCCTTGGGTGTAACGTCACGGAGTTGAGTGGGGAGCTTCCTAGCCTAGAGTACCATTCAATACTGATAACAGATTTGTTCACCTAAGAGGCGAATATAAAGCTTAGAGCAGACTGTCGCTTCTAATTGGTCATGAGTGTACGTAATTATGCTAGGACCCATCTGTGCTGAGGGTGGAGTTACACGGTGTTGTTGCGCGGTAATGCGTAACATGGCTTCAGTTTTACTTATGCGTTGCTGCGAAGTTGCTATTTTCATGCTTGCGTGTAGGGTTGGGGCGTCCGTGACAGTTACGTCAAATGTTTAGGGTCCGGTATAAGGGCAAGTCCAAGAGTTAGCGCACGTTACGTATGGGATATTCAGAAAGTTTAACCCTCCGAAAAGCAATTAAGATAGTCATTGATTTCACTGTTTTTTAATCCAATGTTGGATATCTGCAAGGAGAATACCCACAAGAATTTATATGTTATTTGTCTATGGGATGAGTATGTAATTAAGAAAACATGGTCCGTTACGTATGGGACCGCAAGGGGACCTTCTCTTGGACCTGCCCATAATAGGTTCATAGCAATCCGTGTTAGTCGTGCTCGTATAGAATAAGATAAGCTAGCGATTGATTTATTCGTGTATAAACGTTTTTGCCAGGTGCAGCGTTAGTGAAAATTACTAAGTCGGTTATTGCTTCGGTAGAAAGAATCACAAGTCGTGCTTATGGAAAAAGAGGCTAGCGATTTATTCGTGTAGTGCGTGAAGGGTTTTTTCCCGGTGATCGCAGCGTTAGTGGAAGTCAGTGAGTCAGTTATTGTATCGGTAAAAAAACAGGTAGAGTTGGATTGGCGACGGTTGTGTTAGTACAGATGCCTTTAGCTGCTGAGCTTATCTGCAATTGATTGTTTTCAGCAATTTCCCCGCCTGCTTGCAAACATGTTAAAGCGTTTAAAACCTCTTCCAGATGCAAGTTACTCTATTCTTTTCGGAACTGTTCGCTGCGAAAGTTTGAAATTTGTTTGGTTATCGGAGGCAATCTTTGCATGCAGGCTCTGCATACAGACAATTTTGTTTACCCGGCGAGTTATTTTCAATCTCTTCTGTGCGTGGAGAGAGCGGGAGTATTATGTTTGATGGATGTTGCATGGTGGGTGCTTCGTGCTTCGTGGTGTTGCATTCCCGCTGGCGTCGAGTGTTGTTTGTGTAGTATTAACAGCGATATAACAGCGAGCCGACGTGTGTGAGGGAAAGAAGGAGAGGAGGGAGGAAGGGAGAGAGACTTAAACAGATCGGAGGAGACGGTGAGAGAGAGAGAGACAGAAAGAAAGATGGGGGAGAGACAGAGGAAGCGTGAGAGAGACCATGGAAGAGAGCGTGAGAGAGGCCGTGGAAGAGCGCACGAGAGAGGGATATCGAGAGAGAGAGAGAAAGAGGGAGAGAGAGAGAGAGAGAGAGAGAGAGAGAGAGAGAGAGAGAGAGAGCAAGGGCGTGAAAGCGAGTTACAAACAGAGAGAGCAAGTTACAAACAGAGAGAGCGAGTGAGAGAGAGAGAGAGAGGGCGCGATAGACAGAGCGACGGGGAGAGAGCGAGAGAGAACGAGGGAGGTATAGAGAGATCACTCACAGCATTAACAGTAATATTTAGGGCTTCACTCGCAAATTGCGGCTCTTAACTGTTTGTGATCGCTCGTTAATCTAAACGTCGCGTCGCGCCTTCGCTATTTTGAGGTTGCACGTGTGATTTACGACACGCCCAATGTTTTCGTTTCGTGTCACGTTAGGGGCGTTTACTGCCAGCCTCCGCCTTAACATCTCATACAGCGGGTTCGATTGCGTAAATTGGATACGCAAGTGATCGGTGTGAGACGCTATCTGGCTACTTGCCACAGCCCACCTTCTCTCCACTCTTTTCTACACTTATCTTGTTCCTCTCCCTACCTCCCTTATTTCTTTCTCTCTACCCTCAGACCTTTTTCTCCTCCTCCCTTCTCTCTCGTCCACTCTTCTACACCTTCGTGCTTCCTCCTGCCATCCAGCCCTGGTCCAACCTTCTGACATGTCCTGAATTCACACTTCCTCTCTTTCCATCTATATTCTGTCTCTTTACCCGCTCTCCTAGTCCCCGATTATTTACGCCCGGCCTCCTCCCGCATCATTCCACAGTCCCCTTTGGGAGCACGGTGGTGGATGTTGTGAAGGAGGAGGCGGAGGAGGAGGAGGGGGAGGAGAAGGAGGAGGAGGAGGAAGAGGAGTCGACTATGGGTTTCCCTGCCGATTGAAGCAGCTGGGTATAAATAGGTCTAAACTTTGCGACTGTACTCCACTCCGCCAGGAGGTTGGTTCCCTGAGCGCAAAGCAAACTCGCAACGTATTCAGTTGCCCGACGCCAGAGGAAACTGCTGTCTCTCTCTTTCTCTCTCTCTCTCTCGCTGCGCTTTGTTTACATTACGTAGGATTTAGTTTATGCGTGCACGGCCGGTCCTATTTTCGACGATCCACGTAGCGTGCTGCTGGCGACGATTTCTTTGATATTTTTAGCATTCTAGATTTCTACGCGCGCCGTGGCTTCCACGTGAGGCTGGATGGCTTCCATCCGTTAAGCAGGCTTGAGGCTTCATCAGTAGTGCTATCAACGTGTATCGCATAGCGGCTGTTATTCAGCGCCGCTCCAGCAGGCACAGGTTTCTGGTGTGCCCCGCAGTGGCCGCATGCTGCCCCGCAGTGGCTGTCCTCCTTCTCTCGTGTGTGTTAGACAGGCTCCTCTGATGATTTTACATCGTTTAATTTGCCGGCTGTGTGGCCATCGTGTCGCCTCCTCGTTCATTAGCAACAAAACACCGCATTGATGGAGTTTCTTACCGCTTCGTTTTCCCGCCGGCGTGTGTGACGGATCTGGCAGATCTTGCCTAGTCGCAACAGCAACAGCAGCAGCAGCAGCAGCAGCAGCAGCAGCAGCAGCAGCAGCGGTGGTGGCAGCGCTGTGGTAGCTGCGTCGCATTGACGACTCGTTGTGCGTGTGTTGCCGCATGGTAGTAAAGTAAGTAAGTAAGTAAGTATGTAAGTGTGCGTGCAGCAGCGACGATTACCTTGCAGTGTCGTGGTTGGAGCCGACAACGGGACAGACGCCGGCAATCGGCAGTCGTGCTGCTGTGAGACCAGTGCGCTATGATCAACGCTCGTGTGGTGACAACTAGTGGTGATGTGCATGTAAGGTCTGCACGCTGAAACAAATTACAGTTACTGTGATAAACTGGTTTGCGAGCGCCCCTGTGTGCGTGTCAGCGTGAATGGTCGGCCGCTCAGGTAAGACCTCGTCGCGAAGAAACTACGATTTATCTACTCGCGCTGTGAATTCACTGACCCTGGACTTCACACCGAGGCAGTCCAGACACGACACTGTCGTGACTCCGCGCGATACGCGTGACTCGGTGACGCGGTGACGGTCTTGACCGGCCCGTGACCTCTCGTGACGACGACGCCATGTCGGAGTACGTCGACCTCGGCGCGCTGACCGGCAAAGGTGGCGCCCCCAGCGGCCGGAAGTACCACTCGCTGCCGCGCGGCCGCCGCCGACACGTGCGCACCCCGAACCCGTTCTGCGTCATCGACCTATCACAGGTGCAGTGCGCCGACGACTTCGGCTCGAGCGAGCGTCTCTCGCCGACGTACGGCCTCCAGGGGGCGTTCGGGCGCTGGCCGGCGGCGGGCGGGAGCATGGCGACGCGGCGGAGCGTGTCGGCGAGCGACCTGACCGCTCACGGGCGGCGGCGGACAGACAGCGGGGTGGTGCGGCGCGGGCGCGGCAGCACGGGCACGTCGATCGTCGACGTGTCGGCGGTGGCGCTGCGGCGGCAGGCGTCGCGGCTCAGCATCAACGTCGAGTTGGACGTTCGCTTCATCGACGCCGAGTATCGCGAGAACACGGTCGACGTCGGCACGGGCGACGATCTCAGCATCCACGACGCTAAGATAAATATATACATAGATATATACATAGATACATACTTATATATATATATATAGATATATAGATATATATATATAGATGTATAGATACATATATATATATATATATATCGGTGTTCGCGTGTTTTTACTTTCTATAATTTTATAGTGATAAAAATTTAACAACTTATTCTATTTTTTATACTTGGTGGGGCGCCGGAACATGGTTGGACTGTAGGGGGGGGGTTATAGGGATGGCCTATAGGGTGGGGTGATAGGGATGGCTTATATAGGGTGGGGTTATAGGGATGGCCTATATAGGGTGGGGGTTATAGGGATGGCCTATATAGGGTGGGGGTTATAGGGATGGCCTATATAGGGTGGGGGTTATAGGGATGGCCTATATAGGGTGGGGGTTATAGGGATGGCCTATATAGGGTGGGAGTTATAGGGATGGCCTATATAGGGTGGGGTTATAGGGATGGTCTATCTAGGGTGGGGTTATAAGGATGGCCTATAGGGTGCGGTTATAGGGTTCGTCCACAGGACGGGGGCTATAGGGTGGGCCTGTAGAGTGGGCCTATTTGGGACGAGGGCAGTAATTGTTCAGAGTAAGAATTAAGGAGAAACGGACGAGGTTGGGTTAGTTTGTTGCGTGTGCAACGAGCTAGTCTTTTTTTATGTAGACGTACATTATCTGCATGTGGTAACGTGGTGGCAACTAACAGCGGGCGTGGTGTGAGGCGTATAGATTAATGACGCAGGCAGGCAGATCGTGCGAGGCTAAGAAGCTATTACCGGCCATATTTACCCCCATCAGCGCATCTGTAGTGTGGAGTGCCGCACGCACGCACACGCAGCAACGCAAACACCGATTAGTGCAAGTGTTATAGACCGAGACCCGTGTTTTTTTTTCTACACTGCGAGTACAGCGAGTATTTCAACTAATTCCCGCCTCCCCTCAAGACGATTTATTATAGCTGCTGCTGCTGCTGTGCTGGAGACGCATGCAGCATCTGTGGGGCGCGGGCGTCGTGCGACCCGCACGTGCCGGATGTGAGAAAGTCGCTGTTAAGCCTAGCGCACACACCCGAGCAAAACGGGAAATTTTGTTTTCCAGCGTTTCGCGTTCTGCTCGGCGAGCAAGCGCACACACAGCTGAGCAAAACATACAGAAACACTGCGTACAGCGCCGCTGTCACATGACATCAAAAATAGCCATCCAATGAACATCCAATTTTGTGTGTCATGTGATATTTTTAAGGATATTGATTGGAGACCGTCTGTGGCGTTTCGCTGTGTAGCAGAACGATTGACGCACACACCCGAGCAAAACGTACGCTCAGGCGAAAACACGTTCCGCGAATCAAACATTGCTTGTTCAGCGAAACACGCTCAGCTGAGCAATGTTTTTTTGTTTCGGGAATCCGCACACAGCCACGAACATCGAGCGAAACACGTTTTTCTCCACGTTCAGGGTGTTTTGCTCGGGTGTGTCCGCTAGGCTTTAAAGTGCGCCGCCGCGCGCAGGAAAAAACCCCGTCGGCACAGCTAATATCCGTGCTGTCTGTGTTGTGCAAGCGCGCGCGTGTCAGTGTCAGCTGTCATGCTGCTTCTCCCTCGGCCGTCTGCAATGTTTTCGCAGTGATTTTTCGCTCGGACTAACTCGACACTTCCCTCGTCGCTCCTTTAGTGTCCTCTCCCATTTCTCGTACGCCTGCGAATTTTCACGTTGGTGTTCGCGGTCACTGCGAACGATCAGCTAACTGCCTTTGAGTCGGAGATGTGTGGATGCTACTATATATTTTCGGTGGTTCCAACGAGAGTCGTTGAGCCATCGACGAGAAAGAAGTTAGCGGTAAAAAACCACTCGGTTTCTAGTAGTTACTCTTCAGAGCGTTTCGCAGATGTTATCACGAGTGCAAAATTTTTTCTCCGTTCGGACGAAACCCCACGGGACATCCCCGTATGATAAATATGCGCGCGCAAAAATTAAAGGCTAAAAAATTCTTCTTTTCGCAAACTGCCGCGCGGTGAAATTCGCTGCCAGGAGCCTGTTTATAGAGAACTTCACTTGGCCGCGCACTTCCTCGGTATGGGCATCGCACGTGTCCCCACGTTGTTTCCACGCCCTTATGCGAGATCTGCTGTTGGTTATCTAGCATGTAGTCAGCTCATTTTACTAGCGCATCAGCATTCAAGCGAGTACCACATGCAGGCAGTCTTACTCCATGTCGCATTACACATCCTACCTGATTATCTCTGATTATATCGCATCGCATCACATACAACTGTAATGCATTGAACTTTAATACATTGAGACAAGATTGGGATTATCCAATTACTGTCATAGGGCACGTGGGGGTGGTACTAGTCCTATTAATCTGTAAAACCCGTGTGATTATAACAGGCTTTGGCCCGCAAAGCTGCGAGGTGTCACTGGAATGCACCCCCTATAAATAGCTAGTGGGAATCTGCAACGGGTGGCTTCCCCCGGTGATGGTGTGTGCATATCACATTACTCCTCTCTGGGATAATTCCCTGAACAGCTAGTAGCTACCTTTGAAGCTGTTTCCGTTCGAAGCGTGCGTGCAAGTCAACCTCCTGACCAGAGTAACTGCTTGGGCACGTTCTGCAATGTTTACACATATGCTTCATCAGTGGTTCCCTGCCCGTGTAGCTACACGTGGCTATAGGATGTCAACAATCACAGATGCCAGTGTCAGTGACATTGGGCCGGTGTCGTTGACGGATTTTGAATGATTTTTGGCGTTTTACTATGGCATGCATTGCTGTTCGTACCAGTGGTTATTAGTGAGATTTTAGTGCAGAAGAAATTGCCAGGTTACAACTTATTTTACATCAGTCAGCATTTCCGTCCTGCTGAACATTACGTCATTGTTCCGGTACTTCTGGTGCTGAACATTACGTCATTGTTCCAGTACTTCTGGTGCTGACATTATGTCATTGTTCCAGTACTTCTGGTGCTGACATTATGTCATTGTTCCAGTACTTCTGGTGCTGACATTATGTCATTATTCCAGTACTTCTGGTGCTG